CAAAAGCTCTGAGGCCCAAGTGAACAAAAGTTCAATCCATCCCAGCACTACACTTAAAGGCAAGATAGGAATTAAGGAAAGAAGCTTGGTGTAAAACCATAAAGAGGAAGCCAATTGCTGATAGAAAAAAATAGCTAACCTATGTGACTCACTTTTTGTCCAAGTGAAAGCAAGCCAAACCCTAACCTCTTTCCATTCTCCATCAACACTTCGAACCACAAATTAAATCGCGCCCCAATCTTTATTTTGTTGAGTCATTGAACAATTAAGCCACACCCAACCAGTTCCCCTTTTATTTTGTTAACCATTGAGCCTCTTGACCATCTTTTATAACATTTTTATCCAAACAGTCCACCTAACCCACAAATCAAGCCAATCCTCTCACATAAGGAAAAATCTCTTTTTATTTTGCGAATCTGAGGTAGTTATGGGCTGATGGTGGAAGCGAGCGTGGAGTGAAAGGTTCACATGCATTGATTGATCTCATCGTGTGCGAGGAGAAGATGATCCAAGAGTTTTTAGAGCCATTGCACGCAGAAGAGCTAATATTAAAAAAAAGGACCTCTCCTCTACCGCTGGTTCTTCCTCCTGCTTCTTGCTTGATATTTCTTTAGAGTCTGTTTTTATTTTTGGTTTTACAGTAGCATTTGATTTTAGTTTTTAATTGTTATTTTCCTTTTATTTCATTTCTGTTTGGAGCTCAACTCTTATGGGTATGAGCTAGTCCTTTTAGAGGTTGAGTTTAGGTGATACCTAAACCTCAGTGCTTGGATGAATATTTGATTTTCTGGATTTTAATGTTTTATCTCAGTTGTTTTATGCTATTTTTGTTGTTTAAATTTTCTGCAGTCCAGCCGGATGTTAGAGGTTTATTTAGGAATTAGTTGTTGAGAAACAACTCATTCTGGACTCTGCATTAAGCTCATGGACTTGAATGAGAGATCATTCAAGGGATCTCACTTTAGACATGAATGAGTCCTCCATGTAACATTGGACTTGAGTCTCAAGAGTCCTAATCCCACTTGGCATAGAGATATGTAAGTGGTTGATTTTGGATAAAATAATTTTTAAGAGATTAAAATTAACAAGTGAGTTCCGTTAACTGGGAATTTTTGGATGAGCAACTTGTTAATCAAATCATTCTTTCAAGCACTGTGGGAAAGGAGAACTGAAAACTCAACCCATTTTTCTAAACATCTTCACCAACCCATTTTCTTTTATCTGATTTAGATTATGTTTTACATTTATTTATAAAAAAGCTTTTTACATAAAAAACAAACAAAACACTTCTTAAATTGATTTCTTATTACTTTCCATCTTTTAGAACAATTGAATCCAAAATTAATTCAGAAAATTCTAAAAATAAAATAGTAACATAGTCATTGCTATTTCATATTAGTCTTGTGATTATTTTATTTTTATTTTATTTTCTTTTTTAGATTGAATTTAGTTATAGCAGTTACAAATTTTAGTCAAGTTAAAAACGCCAAAGATCCTTGTGGGAATGATAACTGGAACTCAAACAAGCCCTATATTACTTGTTGTCGCGTATACTTGCGCGCATACTTGCATAATTGTTAGCAAGACAACAAGTTTTTGGCGCCGTTGCCGGGGATTGAAGGCATACATTGTCAAACTGTTTGATCTTGAGTTGTGATTGCTAATTGAGTTCACTTTTGTAGATTGTCAATTGTTTAGATTTTATTTGTGATTCTGATTCTGATTTTTTATTTTATTTTTTCTTTTATAATGCTTATGTTAATTAGTTTAAATTTTTGTTGTAGTTAATTTCTGTTTTGTTTGTTGTTATTTTTTTGTAGCTTCATCTATAGCTTGTTTAATTTTATTTTTTTGTTGTGGTTAATTTTTTTAGCAGGGTAATTTTAGTTTGCTTTTGTTTGTTGATTCTGTTGTTTTATTTTCTGAGTTGTTAGTTACATTTTACTGATTTTTTTTTTCATTATTCATAAATTGTGCTGGTTGCAATTTCTTTGTTGCGAATCTTTTTCTTTGGGTGCAATTTTTTTTTTCTGTTAAGTCTCGATTGATGGTACTAGGAAGTGTATGAGTGACACCCCTCATCATTTTGTAGAGGCTTTTGACCCTGAACCAGAGAGGACTTTTAGGATTAGGAGGAGAATCCAAATAGCAAATAGGCATTTGTCAAACCCTGATTTTGAAGAGATGGAGAACCCAGAAAATGGGAATAATAATGAGGAACAACCTGGGAGAATAGGGAACCAACCAATGGATGATAATGATAGATCCATGATGGACTTTATCATTTCTGTCTTGGATGAACGTGATCCAAGCATTGTCCAACCTGTCAATAAAGTGCCTTTCAAATTAGAACCTATCATGTTTACCATGCTGCAGAATATGGGGCAGTACCATGGGTTACTTTTAGAGGACCCACACAAGCATCTGAGGAACTTCATTGAAGTGGCTAATACCCTTAGGAGGCCAGTCATCTCAGATGATGTTTTGTGATTAAAACACTTCCCTCACGGACAAAGCCAAAGAATGGCTGAACTCCCTTCCATCCAACTCTATAACAACTTGGCATGAGCTAGCTGAAAAGTTCATCATGAAATTTTTTTCCTTCCAATAAAATAGTGCAAACCAAAGGCAAGATCACCAATTTCATGCAGAAAGATGGTGAGACATTAGTGGACGTGTGGGGAAAGTTCAAACTGCTTCTTAAGCAGTGTCTAAACCATAGATTATCATCTTGGGTCTTGATACAAACCTTCTAAAATGGTTTAAGCTTTTAAAATAGAGCCCTAGCAGATTCAGCTGCAAATGAGATGTTTATTTTAGGTCCTTCAATCAAGCCCATGAGTTGTTAGAACAAATGGCTCAAAACTACTCCCAATGGCCTATGGAAAGGTCTCAGCCAAGAAGAGTGGCTGTAATGCATGAAGTTGACTCCATGACAGCATTATCAGCCAAGGTTGATGCACTTTCAACCTTAGTTAGAACCCAAGGTCAGACCATAGAGGCAAATTTGGGTCAAATAGTAACATAGTCATTGCTATTTCAGATTCGTCTCGTGATTATTTTATTTTTATTTTTTATTTTATTTTTTAGATTGAATTAAGTTATAACAGTTACAAATTTTAGTGAAGTTAAAAACGCCAAAGATCCTTGTGGGAACGATAACTGGGACTTAAACAAGCCTTATATTACTTGTTGTCGTGTATACTTGCACGCATACTTGTATAACTGTTAGCAAGGCAACAAGTTTTTGGCGTCATTGTCGGGGATCAAAGGCGTACATTGTCAGACTGTTTGATATTGAGTTGTGATTGCTAACTGAGTTCACTTTTTTAGATTGTCAATTGTTTAGATTTTATTTGTGATTGTGATTTTTTTTTTGTTTTTCTACTTTTATAATGCTTCTGTTAATTAGTTTAAATTTTTCTTGTAGTTAAATTCTGTTCTGTTTGTTGTTATTTTTTTGTAGCTTCATCTATAGCTTGTTTAATTTTTTTATTTGTGTAGTTAACTTTTTCAGCATATTCCTGGAAATTATGATTCCCGAATAAATAAAATTTATCCTTTACCAAACGTCCCATAATCTAATTTGATAATTGATAGTTGTTATGAGCTGCTACTAGTTATGCAAATGGGTTAGGCCGGTTTATAGGGGCCTACGACCTAACCTATATCATGTCAAGCTTGGCCTATTGTGTTTAATTAATTAGAACAAGACTAGACTTTAAAGAAACCTTTTTAGAAAGCAGAACATAGCCGTTTTTTATATGTTGGACCTTTAAGCCTACAGACCGGCCTATATCATATTATTTATTTTAAATAAAATAAATAAAGTTATTATTTTAATGATTTTAAATACTAAAGTAATATATATTTTTTATTATTGAATGTTTAATAGAATTAAACAAGCTAACAAGTCTAGGTCGAGGCTCCTAAAGTATTTTACACAGGCCTAATATATTTAAGCTAAAGCCTAGCCTAATCTATTTATATCCCTGGCTACTACGTAACTTATGTTAAAAAATTTTGCTAAGTAAATACCCTTTTTAGTCCCTAACAAAAAATACGGTACCCACTTTAGTCCCTTACAAAAATAAATTAGTCAGTTAGTCCTTAACAAATTCAAAGTGGACCCATTTAGTTGAAATCATAGTCCTTCACAAATTCAAAAAAGACCCATATTAGTCTCTCAAAAGGACTAAAATAGGTCCACCTTGAATTTGTCAGGGACTAACTGACTAATTTATTTTTGTAAGGAATTAAAATGGAGATCGTGTTTTTTGTTAGGGATCAAAAATGGTATTTACTCGTTTTTGTTTAGTATACAAGAAGAACAAATAGACAAATAACTCCAATTTTTTCAAAAAACTTTATTGAATGTTAAACAATGCGTGATGTAAAAGGTGTAACAATATATTTTAGGGGAAAGTGTGTATTATTGTGAAAGATATAAAGTTGTGTCATTTTAACTGAGAGAAAGAGATAAATCATGGGAGAGAGAATAAGTGAAAAAAGTTTTAAAGGTGTGAATCTCACCTCTTTGTGAGAGTGAAAGGATATAAGGTGTGAATCCCACCTCTTTGTGAAAGTGAAAGGATATAAGATGTATTATTTAAAATGACACACCTTTTTTCTTATATTTTATATAAATTATATTATATTTTCTCATATATTAGAGGCAAGATATTTCACTTTATATTCACAAAAATTAAATGGGTCCTATCATTTAAAAAAAATACAAGTGGCACATCTTTCCATAATGTGCAGGACAGAATTGGTCTCTCTTGTAAAATTTTCTATATTTTATTTTGTACTTTTTAATTCACATTCATTATACAATATACATGCATCCGATATACCTTAAATGCGGAGTATTAAAAAAAGAAGAAGAAAAGAGTGCACTCTTTGAGAGTATCGTTTGATCATCACGCCTTAAATGTACTCGAACTATCGTGATTATTGACATTGAAACAATTCAAACAATATGCTGATGCAACACACGGAATCATTCCTACTAAGTACTCCGTCGCCATTCGCCACCATCGAGAGGGAGATCAAAATTCGAAGCGGGAAAAACACACACCCTAAACAAGCAAAAAAGGAGCAATTGAAAGCGTGGAACCATAAAAGGATATAATCCAAAATAAGCAATGGCGCTTCACCGTTTCACATCCAAACTGCGGAGCTATTATTACTGATACACAAAAAAACGAAACTATTGCGTTCCCTCTCTCACTTCTCTTTTCATTCTCTTCTCTTCATCTTTCAGCTCTCCAAACCCTAGAAACTTCCAATCGAAGCGATTCATCTCGATTTTTTGTTTAAGTGCTGTTTTATTCTTTGGTTACTATTTTTTTTATCTGTTGTTCGCCATTTTCTTTCTCATTTTTTTGTTTCATTCATTGTTGTTTTTAAAGCATATGAAGAGGTCTCAGAGTAAAATCGCCTTGAAGAATGGCAGCAAAGGGGATGAGGTTGACGAGAATGTGAGAGAATCGAAGCATCCTCCATTGAAGCGGAGAGCCAGTGCTCGCATCCAAGCGATTATGCAGAAAGCAGCTGACGAGCTTGAGGTCGTAGAAGACAAGAATGAAGGTAGCGAGATGGCCAAAGAGAACAAGCTCCATAGAAAAAGTCGTAGTGAAGAGAGTGTTGGTGAGGCAGAGGTAGTAGAGGTAGACGTTCGTGAGGTCGAGGTTGTGGAAGGAAGTGTGTATATGGAGAATGAAGTTGGTGTTTCAGCTGAGAGGAGTGAACCTCTCAGTGTTGACGAGACAATTAGGCTGTTTAATGAGCATTACCTTTCTCATCTTCAGGTTTGTTGCGTGTTTGAACCCGATCTGGGATTGGACTTCGGTTCTTTTGTTTGTTGATTTGGTTGAGTCTATTTTGTTAATTTGGCCTCTTCTGGTGGTTGAAGAAAAAGAAGAAAAAGCCGGAAGTGTGCGCCAAGCTTGAGGTTGAGGATGTGGGAGGAAAGGAGGATACTGAAAATGCAGTTGGGGTTTTGGCTAAAAAGAGTGACTCTGTTAAGGTGAAGGAAACGATTAGGTTGTTTAACAAGCACTATCTTCATTTTATTCAGGTTTGTTGCATCTCGCACTCTTTAGTCTAGTTGATTCACTTTGGTCTTTGGTATGCTCTGGTTGAAGCTATGTTTCTAACACGTACAGGAAGAAGAGACGAGATGTGGGAAGATACAAGCTGAAAGGAAAGAAGCTAAAAAGGTTTCAAAATCTAAGGTTGGTTTATTATTAAGCACTGTTTGTTATTTGTGTGTTATCATATTTATGTCGTTATCTCTCCCCCAACATAAATTATAAGAAAAAAAAAATGCTTACGAGTCCATTTCTTATGTGAAATAATTCTGTAATGATCTTACTTGGGGATGGAAATTTTGAACTGTGTGCTACTATAAATATTGTATATTACTTTTCCTTTGATTGGAACTTTTGGTGGTTGGTTGTCTTTAGTCTGCTACCAGCTGAAACCGACTATTAGCTGCTTGCCCTACTAGGTTTTTTAGTGATAACAGGCTTTTTGCTAGGTATGACTCTGGACTTTTGGTTGGGTATTAGCAAAATTTTCTTACAAGTATTAAGCTGCATTTTATTTCATTATTGGGCTAAACTATAATAGCATAACACTTGGGTCTATGCAGTGTCCGGCTCACATTTTTGCCCCCACCTCTTTTCCAATTTTAAGTTGGGAAGTTTTTTACATAACAGATGTTGTGTCTTCATGCAAACATCATTTACTGCTTGAATAGTTTTGTCATACAAGGCAAATATGCTAAATGTTTCTACCTTGAACGTTGTCAAACTTATTTTTGAATTCCCAGTTATAGTTTAATACTTAAAATGTATTTCTTTTTCCTTTTTGGTGAAGTGGTAGAAAATGTGCTTTTGTTAGTAGTGTGTTTCAATGTCTGTTAAGAGCTTTAAATCTTAGTTCATTGTATATTGAAATTTAAAGCTGAACTGTTTCGCTGAGTTTTTTTTTTTGTTTTGTTTTATTAATCATTTTACAATAAGCTAGCAACAAAACTTCTTGTGTTTTTTTTTGGTAAATAAAACTTCTTGTGTTAATTTATGTAGAAAGGCGCTCCACCTGAAGATTTAAAGTCCAAAGTCAAGAGGCCTGATTTGAAGGCCATGTCAAAGGCAAGTGAAATATAAATTTTTTTTTAGCGGAATCTTGATTGCAGGTGTCATAATAATTGTTTATGTGATGATCAAGTATAGCATTTTGCTTTCCTTTTATTTTTCAACAGCATTGTGATGAAATTACCTTATTCATCTTTTGTCTATCCTTGTTCTTTCTCTTGTAGTGATTGATGCCTAATATCTTATCAATTTTTTTTAATTGGTTAGTTAAGAGAGGTCTCTTAGTAACAATCTACTAGACTACTTTAATGACATAATATCTCTTAATTATGTGAAATAAACTTAAGTTTATTTTTTGATAATGTATAGTCTTAAATTTATTAATTTTGTTTTATATCATTTGTTTTGATTTGATTAATTGAAATTGATTAAATTGTAAATTCCAAAAACACTGCTCTTGTTATCTTTTAACACTATTTTCAAATTGGAGATTGTTGACAGATGATGAATAATAATGAGATACTGTACCCTGTGAAAAGAGTTGGCAACATTCCAGGTTGTTAGCTTCATCTTGTGTTGCTCTAACTGCTAGTCTTTTTTCATCTAAATGATATTATCTACATATTATCTCTCAATTCTCACAAATGTTATTTCTTATAATTAGCTTATCATATGCACGGTGAAATTTTGTTGTACTTGATAGTTCCTCATTTAGTGATTTTAATTTTTCTCTTAATGGCAGGTGTTGAAGTTGGGCATCAATTCTATTCTCGTTGTGAAATGGTAGCAGTTGGCATGCATAGTTATTGGTTAAGGGGGATTGATTCTATGTCCCTGCACAATAAAAAAAAGGTAATGCAATTTCTTTTTGGAATGTTGTATTTTCTTACTCTAATTTGGTTGGAGCATTAAAGATCACAAATTATACATGCATTTATCATACAATATATTTTTGAATTGAATGTTCAATATAAATCTATATTAGATGTTTACTTTTTCTCTCTTGATTGTCACAGCACAACAGCTATAAATTCCCTGTTGCTGTGTGCATTGTTTTGTCTGGCATGTATGAGGATGATGTGGATAACGCTGAGGATATTGTGTACACTGGTCAAGGTGGGCATAATCTGACCGGTGATAAGCGTCAAATTGCGGATCAAAAATTAAAGTTGGGTAATCTAGCACTCAAGGTGGGTAGGCATTTTGATGATATCTCAATACCTTTGAAATATGATAATAACTTGTTTCCTTTTAGTGGTATAATTGATAGATTAATTTTGCTATCTGCTTCATTAAAAAATGGGAATTATGGATTGTTTTTTGGTGGAAGGTTTATGCTATTGTACATAATAATAATGTCTGCAATGGTTGGTACATAATTAGAATCATATATATTTACAAATTATAAAATTAGGATGGGATTTGTTTAGTTGGGTTGAACTAGTGATGTTCAACTGATGGTATGTTGTAAATAGTAATTATGTAGTCATTTATTAGTAATTATGTAGTCATTTATTTGTATTTATTTAGTCCGTTACTTGTATATTGGGCCAAGCCCATTAGGTCAAAATTAGGTCAAGAAGTCTCTATAAATAGAGACTCCTATGTACAGATTCAAATACGATTCAATAATATTTCAAATACCCTTTTATTTCAAGCTGGTATCAGAGCTCTCGATCCTGAGGGCTCTGCTTCCACGCCTATTGTCTTTAGAACAAGAACCTTTTATTCTTTTTGTCTCTCGCTGCCATCAGCTGCCACCAGATTTTTTTTTTTCCGGGGACCTCTTGGACCGAGAAGATCTCTGTTATACTGGATCTCTGTTACTGTTCATCGTCTCCATTATTCCTCATCACAAGACAGCATCTGTTCATCACAATTGGACCCTTTCCCGGAGGTTTTTCAACTCCGAACAGACCCAGAAAGAACCGCGCTCACCGGACGACGTTGCTCCAGAAATTTCAGATCGGACGGCCACCGCACGCGCCCACACGCATCGCCCCTTCAACCGCGAGTGAAGCCCACGCGCAGCCAATCTCACCGGCGCGTGAGATCATTTTTCCGGATCGGACCACCGCGATCTTGATCTTTCCTTCATCCTCTTTCTGGATCTGTGCTCCTCTCTTTGATCGGACATCGTTTGGTATTTATTTGTGATTTTTTGGCTTCTTGGAGCTTTTCTTTGACCATTTTCTGTGCAGTATGGCCTCTTCTCAAAGGAGTTCTTTTTCAAAATTTTATGATGGTACCTCTTCTAGACCAAAGAGAGATGATCGATGGTGTTCTTATTGTAAAAGAACAGGTCATATCAAGGATTTATGCTTTCGTCTTTATGGAAAGCAATCTGTCTTAGAAAAGATGGCAAAGTTGCGTGGTCAAGCGCATTTTACTTCCTCTGAAATAACTCCTACACCTAATAAGACCCAACCTGCATTTCATCCAGATGAGTTGGAACGGCTCCGAACCATTCTTGATTCTATGAGTAAGCCATCTGATACTAGTGCTTTGACTATGACTGGTATGAGCTCCAAAACTTATTCTTTCCTTTCTTCATGTAATGATTTTAAACATTCTTGGGTTGTTGATTCTGGTGCTACTGATCATATGGCTTGTTGTGCTGACTCCTTTACCTCTTATCATCCTACCATTGGAACTCATACAATAGCCGTAGCTGATGGCTCTCATACATCAGTTGCGGGATCTGGTGACATAAACTTACAGCAGTCCTTACATCTTAAGGATGTTCTTCATGTTCCTAAACTCTCCACGAATCTTCTTGCTATTCATAAAATTACAAAAGATTTGAATTGTACTGTAACCTTCTATCCTACCCATTGTGTTTTTCAGGATCTCGCCACGGGGAAGACGATTGGTAGTGCTAAAGAGCAAGGTGGGCTGTACTATTTGGTGTCACAATCTCCTGCAAATAAAGTAACAAATCACATCTTGATGTCTCATGGTCAATCAACTGCTGATTCTTTGATTTGGCTTCATCATAAGTGCTTAGGTCATCCTCCATTTAGTTTACTCAAATCTTTATTTCCGTCATTGTTTTTGTCTAAATCTGTTGAGTCTTTTCATTGTGATGTTTGTGAATTTGCTAAGCATCAACGTGTGTCTTTTCCTTCTAGTATTACTAAGAGTGTTGAACCTTTTGATCTTATTCATTCTGATGTTTGGGGTCCCTCTAAAGTCCCTCATGGTTCTGGAAATAAATGGTTTGTTTCTTTTATTGATGATTGCACTCGTGTAACTTGGGTGTACTTAATGCGTTAAAAGTCTGAGGTACCACAACTGTTCTTTCAATTTTATAAAATGATTGAGACCCAGTTTGGTAAAAAACTCAAGAGACTAAGAACAGATAATGATACTGAATATGTTAATCATAGCTTTTCCCAATTTATAAGAAATAACGGTATGATTCATGAACTTACTTGTGTTGACACCCCCCAACAGAATGGGGTTGCTGAAAGAAAAAATCGTCACCTTCTTGAAGTGGCTCGTGCATTAATGTTTCAGACACATGTACCCAAATACTATTGGGGAGATGCTATTCTTACTGCAACATTCTTGATCAACCGTTTACCCACTCGGGTACTTGACCATGTAAGTCCTATTCACTCTATGACTTCTTTTTTCCCTTCTATTCCAACTATGATGAGTCTTCCTCCATGAGTGTTTGGGTGTGTTGCTTTTGTTCATGTTCATAAACATCATCGCAGTAAGTTGGACCCTAGGGCTATTAAATGTGTTTTTCTTGGTTATATTCCTGATAAGAAGGGCTACAAGTGCTATCACCCTAGTAGTAGGAAATTTTTTGTTTCTATGGATGTTACATTTCAGGAATCTGAGTCCTTTTTCCAAGGTCCTCATCTTCAGGGGGAGAATCCTTCACCAGAAATCTCATCACCTCCCTTCTTTGAGTTTGAATCATCAGTGTCTACTCCTTTACCTATGTCAGTGTATCCTCCACCTGGTCCTGTTCCTCCTGTGTCTGTTTCTCCTTTGTCTGTTCCTCCTGTGTCTGATCCTCTTGTGAGTAATCCTCCTGTGACTGATTCTCCTGTGATTGATACATCAAGTACATCAGAGATACGAAAGATTATGACACCTGAAAGAAGGAAACAACCCACATTGTCTCAGCAGCAACCTCAATCGTCTGAACCACTGGTAAGTCCTGAATCTCATATTTCTGATCATGATGTTAATACTTCTGATGACTTACCCATTACTACTGATTCTGATGATTTACCCATTGCTCTTAGAAAAGGAAAAAGAGCTTGTCCCAAGAAATCTTGTCCCTCCTGTCCCTCTTGTACTCAATACCCTATCTCCCAGTTTGTTTCCTCTGCTAATCTTTCTGTGCAGCACAAAAGCTTTGTTTCAGCACTAGACTCTATTGCAATCCCAAAATCAGTACATGAAGCCTTGAAAGATAGGAATTGGGCTCAAGCCATGCAAGAGGAGATGAATGCATTGGAGAAAAATAAAACATGGGAGGTTATTGATAGACCTACTGGAAAGAAAGCAGTAGGGTGCAGATGGGTTTATGCCCTGAAATATAATTCTGATGGAACTCTTGAGAGATACAAAGCTCGATTAGTTGCCAAAGGTTACTCTCAAACCTATGGCATTGATTATGAAGAAACATTTGCTCCAGTTGCAAAGATGAATACGGTGAGAGTTTTGTTATCCCTTGCTGCCAATTACAATTGGGATATAAACCAATTTGATGTGAAGAATGCTTTCCTCAATGGTGAGTTAGAAGAAGAAGTCTACATGGAAATTCCGCCTGGTTTTGATTCTGTGAAGGGAGAAAATAAAGTTTGTAAATTAAAAAAGGCCTTGTATGGATTGAAGCAGTCACCTCGTGCCTGGTTTGGAAAGTTTACTAAGGTTATGATGACCTTAGGATATAAACAAAGTCAAGGAGATCACACTCTTTTTTTCAAGCACTCCCAAAATGGGAAGCTTACTGTGCTCCTTGTATATGTTGATGATATTATTATCACAGGTGATGATTTTGTGGAGAGACAGATTCTGCAAACACGGCTTGCCTCTGAGTTTGAAGTCAAAGACCTTGGGAAACTGAGATATTTCCTAAGGATAGAAGTAGCTCATTCGAGCAAAGGAATCTTTATCAGCCAGAGGAAATATGTTCTTGATATTCTCAAAGAAGCAGGAAAGCTCGGGTGTAAACCCTCTAATACTCCTATTGAGCAGAATCACAAGATGGGCTATGAAGAGGAGAGTCCTCCAGTTGATAAAGGACAATATCAACGGCTAGTTGGGAAATTGATATATTTGGCCCATACTAGACCAGACTTAGCTTATGCTGTTAGTGTTGTCAGTCAGTTTATGCACGATCCAAAGAAGAAACATATGCAGGCAGTAGAGAGAATTCTTCAGTATCTGAAAGGTACTCCTGGTAAAGGGTTGTTATTCCGACGTGATGGCAATCTATCTTTAGAAGTCTACACAGATGCTGATTATGCTGGATCCGTGACTGACCGTCGTTCTACCACTAGTTATTGCATGTTTCTTTGTGGTAACTTGGTGACATGGAGAAGTAAGAAACAAGATGTGGTCGCCAGATCAAGTGCAGAAGCTGAATTTCGAGCTATGGCTCAAGGCATTTGTGAGTTACTGTGGCTGAAAATTGTACTTGATGATCTAAAAATAAAATGTGAGGGACCTATGAAGCTGCTATGTGATAATAAGTCCGCTATTTGTATAGCTCATAATCCAGTTCAACATGATCGGACTAAACATATTGAGGTCGACCGCCATTTCATCAAAGAGAAACTTGATAGCGGGTTGATTACCACTCCATACATTCCCACTGGGCGTCAATTAGCTGATCTATTGACAAAGGGGCTTCCTTCAGATAGATTTCAAGAACTTGCTAGCAAGCTGGGAATGATAAATATCTATTCCTCAGCTTGAGGGGGAGTGTTGTAAATAGTAATTACGTAGTCATTTATTAGTAATTATGTAGTCATTTATTTGTATTTATTTAGTCCGTTACTTGTATATTGGGCCAAGCCCATTAGGTCAAAATTAGGTCAAGAAGTCTCTATAAATAGAGACCCCTATGTACAGATTCAAATACGATTCAATAATATTTCAAATACCCTTTTATTTCAAGTTGGTAGCTGGTGTTTTTATCTACGGATGCTCAATAAAGATGTCTAATAATGATGAATCACTATCTCCGGCCAACAACTTAATGAGTAATATTCAGGGGTGCATGTGTGAGTTACTTGCGAAGTGAGAAGAAGGGAATGAATGTGCTTTGGGCACAAGATATGCGAGTGTGAAGGTTGTAAACATGGTGGTAAATCCTGTGAACAATGAAAAGATTATCCCCTCATTCACTCTGGGGTGTTATATAGATGAGGTGTAGGGAGGTCATGCACATAGTGGGTGTTTTGTAGGTGACTAGTGATGTGATAGTGTGCTTAGTGGGTAGTTATGTGTAGTGGAGGGCAGTTGAGAGAGAGTGGTGTAGTGGAAATGCATAATGTATGTCTAGAAGTGGGGAGAGGGAGTTGGGACCATTTAACTGGTCCAGAACAGGATTATATCATGCACAATTTGGTTTCATTTCGTAAGAACAGAAATAACCAGCCATGGATCCTTATTTTTGTTTTTGTAAACTTTTATTTTCATGCATTGTTGAAATTATTGAAGTGATATTTTTTATGAATCATGTTATTTGTTTTGGGAATAGGTTGTGTTTGTGAAATGTTATTTATATATCTTACGTTATATTTTTGATTATTTGTATTTGGGTAAGATTCCTTTTCCTTTACAATTGAACTCTATTTGTTGTACAAGGGCTCGTCTAACCTACATTGATCTCAATTATAGAACTGCGTTGAACAATTAGTTCCTATTAGGGTGGTTCGTGGTCATAAATCTTCGAGCAGTTACTCTGGTAAAGTCTACACTTATGATGGTTTGTACAAGGTAATTCTTTGAAAATATTACTCAAACATGTTTCTTATTACTAATTGGATCTCTAATTTGGGCAAAAATATCTGTATAGACTGCTTAAAAATCAAATCTTAATAATGAAAATATGGTTTTGTAGTTATAATCAATATCAACATCAATAACACCTTTATTCCAAACTAGTTGGGGTCTATGGCATATGAACCCAAATGAAAAGTGCAAAAAGATTGAAAAAAAAAGTTAAAAATAAAATTTAAAAAATATAAATAACATTATCCATAAAAAATAGTAGTGAACAAACAGGAAAAATAAATTAAAAGAAAGTGAAAATAAAGATACATAAGAAGACACAAAAGAATAAGAAAGTAAAAATAAAAAAATATACTGACAAAAAAAAGTAAAATAAAAATGGAAAGAAATTTAAAAAAGGACAAAGATAAAAGGGGAGGTAAATAAAGAAAGAGAGATAAAGAGGAAAAAGACCAAAAAGGGATCATCTAAAACATAGGAAGAAAAACGAGTCTAATCCTCTACCATGCAAATAGCCTTTTTCCAATCCGTTCTAAGACACACCGTCTACCAATCAATATTGCATTCCATTAAGTCTTGTTTTATACCTTCTCCAAATAAGTTTCTGTATATCTCTTCCTTTTTTTGTATCAAGCTCTTGGTAACAAACTTTAGTTTTTACCGGAGCATGACTGAGTCTTCTCATTACGTGCCTAAATCATCTCAATTTATGTTCTCTCATCTTTTCAGCCGTCGGTACTACTTTTATCTTTCGTCGAATATCTTCATTTCTTATCTTATCTATCCTTGTATGACCACACATCCACTTCAACATTCTCATTTTCGCTACTCCCATTTTATGCACATGTTTCCTCAACATTTAGCTCGTATAACATTGCATGCCTTACTGCTGTTCAATAGAATTTTTTTAGGGAATTTTGCGGTCACACAAAAATCCTTGTGCACTACGCCTTTTCATCCACCCTGCTTTGATTCTATGATTTACATCCTCATCAAACTTTTCATCTTTTGCAAAATTGATCCCAAACATCTAAAAGTGTCTTCCTTTATTACCTATTGTCCAAGCAGATGCACATAATCTTGATCTCCATCTTTTACCGCAGAAAAATCACACTGCATATACTCAATCTTGCTCTGGCTTAATGTAAATCCTTTAGACTCCAACATGTTTCTCCACAATTCTAGTTTTCTATTAAGACCAGCCTTGGTCTCATCAATAAGCACGATATCATATGTAAAAGGCATACACCATGGCACTTTCTTTTGAATATCTTTTCTTAGTTCATCCATAACTTGGGCAAAGAGATAAAGACTTAGAGCAGAACCTTGGTGTACACTTACCGTGATAGGAAAACAATTTGATGTTCCATTACAAATTTTCGTACATGTAATAGTACTATTATAAATATCTTTGATTGCATTGACATACTTTGATGGTATATTTTTTTTCTCAAGAACCCACCATAGAACTTTTCTTGGAATCCTATTGTAAGTCCTTATTTTTTTCTTGATATCTTTCTATTAATTGTCGCAACAAGAAAATGGCTTTCATGGTACATCTTCCTGGTATAAACCCAAATTGATTTACAGAGACTTTGGTCTCTCTCCTCAAGTGATGTTCAGTATTTGCTGTCTTTTGCTTATTTATTTTTCACTATACTTGCATTTTTTCTTGGAAGTAGGTGCCCTTAGTGGTTGGACTTGGACTATTGAAATGTCCACCAAACTGGGTCAATTATTTAAGATGTCAATTGGTTTATTTTTGGACGTAACTAGGTGCAACAAGGCACTTGGGCCATTAAAATTTTGCTGGTTGTATTGTGTCTTATCAAATTCCAAAGTATTTTGAAAGCAAAAAACACTTGACACATCTATTTAAAGGGGCATCCTTCGTAATTTCACATCGGATGACCAGGTCTTAAATATGTTGTCTAACATGAGGGAACCATCTTAAATGGTTTTTTTTTCCACCATTTTTTTTCCTTTATAGAAGGCACTCCAACCTTCTTCCTAATGATCTCATTTTAAATCTTTTCAACCCGGGTATGCACACTCATCCTTCATAACATTTTGTATTTAAATAAGCTTTATCTTTTACTTATAGTTTCCATTAGCTTCACAACATTCTGATCCATATCACATTGGGGCTATAAGTGAAATTTAATTAAACTCTTCATTTAATTTATAGGCAATCTCACAAAATAAATACCTGAGGCATTCTTCAGTTTATCTATTCTAGTGCAACTTAGGGGTCTGCTGCTAACAGGCTATTCTTCTTGGGGACGGATCCGTTTACAAACTTTTTTTGAAAATATTTACAAATTACACTATGTTCTCCCGGAAGAATATAGTGTAATCAGTGTTCTCCCGGGAGAACATAGTGTAGTTTGTAAGAGTTTGTAAACAAAAAAGTTTGTAAATATAACCTGGCTCATTCTTCTTTACCAATATATTTGCATAATACTGCATTGATATAATATATATAATCTCGTCTTGAAAATGACATTGTCAACAACAAGTCCACAAATCTTTCCATCTGATGTCGTTAGGATAAAATCCCTCTTTCTCTTCTCCAACTGTTTATCAAAGGCAATCTATTAGTAATAATTTGTTGAGAAAAGAATTGAAGCTTTCTTTTCATGATTGATTTTGGCACCTGAAACAATTGGTTTAAGGAGCTAGCATTGATGATAAATTTCTTCCAATTTGAATTCTTAGTTGTTATCGTAAGTGCATTTACTCTGGTCTCTAAAATTGCACTTTTTAACTGGTGAAACAGATTGATATGGAATATGGAGACACGATTTACTTCCAATTTTTGGTGTGATACTTCAAATCTTTTATGCCCTTTCTTTTCTTGTTTTGCAGGTTGTCAACTATTGGCTAGAAAAGGGAATATCTGGATTTATAGTATATAAATTTCGACTTAGGAGACTTGAAGGGCAGTCTACATTAACCACTAATCAGGTTAATTATATTTGTTCTAGTTTCATCTAGAAAATATTTTCTTGTTTTATTGCCTGTGTGTGGTAAAATCACTACATATTTATCATAAAGCAGAGGTTGGAATTTAATTAGAAGGCATTATATATGAAAATGGAGAAGTGAAGAAGCTAAATAAATTTTTATGGCTATGATACATTCCTCAGGATTGACCTTCAGTAATGTAGTTGTGACCTAGTGACTTGATAAACTTTCAAAGTGAAATAATGGGGATGTTGAATTCTGGTTTAAACATGTGAACGTAATAGCTTAACTATGGGAAAAGCAACGGCCCATCCATATATTTTGTTGCTATTTGATTTCTTAGATTGAGTTTGTTACACTTTAATTCTTACCCATTTACTTGTTTAGATATTGATTCTTTTTTTTTGGGAGGTTTTGGGGGTAGAAAGATGTAAATGGGGTTTCCCCATACCCTTCGGGTGTAGGACTGATTCCCCCTTGAGCCTCGAGTTGACCTTGGCAACAAGGTGCTTCTAGACGAAAAATGGAGTCCAGATACAACAAAAAAGCCAGTCCCTTGCTCTGTAAATATAATAATATAATAATAAATATTTTTGGATAATAATGATATTTAGTATTTTTGTAATTAATAATATTGGTATTTAATATTTTTAATTAATGAGTTAATAATAGTTAAAATAATAAGAGGTAAGATAATAATAGTAATATTATTTGATTTATGTGATAATATATAATTATATATATATATATTAGATGATAAATTGTAATTAATTGGATTATTAATTGATTGATGATTTAAGTATTTATGATTGATTGGTAATGTTTGATAGGTAATAATTGATTGGTAATGTTGATTGGTAATTTGATTAGATATGATGAGTCAGCATTGAGCCAGTAATGTATGAAGTCAATATCTGAGTCAAATACATCAATAAAGAAAAAAGAAATAAATGCACGAAACCCATATCTGAGCCCAAAACTTCAAATAGAGGTCTAGCCTAACCAAACCAATTCACTCTTCAACATTTCTCCTCTACTACTCTCT